CAAGATGATATCATTAATACTTGATTTGTAGGCATTGACCACGAATTAGAATTTAGTGAGAGTAAAAAGGATATTACGGTCCATTGCATTGCAGTGAAAAAAGAACCAAATTAATTATTATCAAAATTAGTAAAACTAATATTCATTAGTAAATGCACGATTATCTAATCACTTATATCGGGCATATTGAACTTTTTCACGAAAAGAAAAATCCATAATTTTGTTTATTAATACCTCATGGTTTCACTGTGTGCAATTGTGCATATAAGTTAAGTCTTACGTATATTTCTTAAATCACGAGGCAGTGTGTTCTATAGGACAATGACTATGCAATTCGGTAAACATTGGCACATTTGTGACACTTCAATTATATAAGAAGCACACCAAGATATACCTTCCTAAAATGGAATCATGACGGTGTGGTTGATATAAACATTAATTTTTACGATAGAAGCTTCTGGTCCGATTAACATCTAAAAAAACCATCATCATACTTAATTAGTAAGATTTGTATGATTGCGTATTGTTTACAGTACGTACAGTGTAAATTATATTTTTAGAAATTCTAAAATAATTAAGGGAATAATAAGTGTATAAATACAGCAAGAGCGACTTTTTCTAAAACTTCAGTTCATTACAAAGTTCAATTAAAAAATTTAAACCTAGTATTATTAAACAAGTTTACCAAAATGAGTGAATTTCAAACCAGCTTCATCTTTATTAACTCTAATAATCCGATGGTTCCAAATCAAGTAGTTGACGACGTTCAACCAACTATTAAACTTTTATTCCCCCCCATGATCGATCCACGTGATTTAATTACTTTAAACCCTGATGGTCGTGAACCGTCTAGAGCTCCAAATGCTTTTATTATCTATCGAAAATTATTTATCAAGACGACGAAAGATGAAGGTTACTCTCTTCCAATGACTATAATTTCTTCTATGGCATCAAAATCCTGGGAGAAAGAACCTGAAATAGTTAAAAAAGAATATAAAAGAATTGCACGAGAAGCATTTTTATATCGAAGCAAGATCTGCCCAAAGCCTAAACGCGAAGGAAAAAGGAAACAATGGAATATTATTTCATTTACTCAACCTAACGAAAAATTACCAAGAAAGACAAAATCCCCCAAATCGGCCATGACTTTGGAATCCCGACAGTTATCGCTCACTTCGATCTCCTTTCTAACTTCGGAAAGCTGATGTTCAATGTGAGCTCGTATATTTCAGAATTAAAAAAAGTATGTTATGAAAAATTTGAAATTCGAAATATAAGTTATGTTGGATTTCCTAAGCTTGATTGGCCTGTAGAAAGTTATAAGATTGGATAATAATACAGTTACGGTAAATAACTGATATTGATAATTTTCTTTTTCGACCAAGTATTTCTGGGTAAAAAAAGAGTAACACATTGTTTAAGTTTCCTTCGTTAGAAGAATATGTTTTTAAATATTTTTAATCAACCGAAAAATTTTTTTCATCTATAAAATTTAACAAAAAACATCTATTTGGCCTTCATATTAATATAAATATTTTATTTAAATTTGTTTATAGTTTATTGTGAATTTTACACGAATTATGTATTTATTCAAGTCCTTTTATTTTACCAATTCTATATTTGTGAGTGCATTGTTTTTTTTCTAAATATAAATTATCAAATTGAGAAATAAATATATATTAAATATAATAACAGCATTGTTATTTGAAAGATAAATTTGTTACAATAAAGAAATTTTTTATTTAACCATTGAAGTAATTATTAGCAAAAAATAACAACAATAAGTTTATTATAATTATTATAAATTTGTATAAATATAATTTGAATTAATATTATAAGCTGAATATAATTTGAATTAATATTATAAGTTAAATATAAAATATACAAATGATAATAATACAGTATACAAGGTAATTCATAATTTTTTGAAATTGATTTTTTAATATAATTTTATTAATAATTATTTAAATATTATAAAATTAAAAATTTTTTTAAAAACCTATAGTTTAAGATTACTTAAGAACATTTTTAAAATTTTTTATTGTTTTTATATCTAAAATTTATGTTTAATATAAGTTAACAAATGACTTGTGATCAGATCACAAGATATCAAGTTCAATTTCAGAAGAAAGCAAATTGAACTAACCAATTTGAATATCTATCACTATAACCAGTCAAGCGTTGTTTTCTATAAGAAGTTATTCTCATGCTGATCCAATAAGTGTTGGGATTGTAATTTCTAGAAAAGGTGTTAATAGTAATACAATCATCAGAAAGATATTATGACAATCAGTTCAGACTTGATGAAGATCCTCCTATACCTCTTATCCCCAATACCCTACATTTCCCACTCCTATAGTTTATAAGATTATAAAAGAAAAAAAGTATTTATTTCCATACCAGAATGGACCCATTAGAGTAGATAAGATACTCTGTTTAATCCCTTAGCACTAGTTCAGACTAGTGATTAAACTGGTAGCTAATGTCAGCATTTGGAATTATCCTGATATAATCAAATTTATTAATAGCATAATAGAATTACAATATAATATATATATGTATAAATACTAACTACAAAAAGCAATAGTATAAACTATCAGTAAGAGTTTCACATGTCTGTTGGTAGTGAGAATCCAGTCGGGATTGCAGAAGGTTGCTTGTATTACGAGATGTTCTATCCTAAGGGGTACACTTGCAATGGTTGACTGCATGCCTCTATAAATTGTAACCCCCACATATATTGCTAGATCAGATTAGGCAGGGTGAGGCTGGGTCCGATTCCCAGGCATATTTGGTATACTGATGTACTCTCATCCTCCAATAATATCTCACTGACTAAATCCTAGTAAGTCTTGACTAAACTGAACGGTTGAAAAACTGTAGTGGTAGCTGCAGGCAATGATTATCCTAGCAGATAGCAAAGGTCTGCTTGCCTTGAATATAGCAACTCTCCATTCCTACCATCTATACTTAGAGGCTTAGGCCTAAGACAAGTATTTAGAATCGTCATAATCACCCCCTGTACCCCGGAAAAACACCGGGAGACTAGAAAGGTAATATAAAGGTACCTGAGTTGACGGCAAGGGTTAAAAAAAAAAAACAAAAAAAAACAAAAAGCAATAGTATAAACAGATGATATAATAGCTAGTACTTAATAAATAAATATAAGTTAACAAATATTAATAAGACAAATTTGTCAAAGTTTTATATATAAGTTATTATAAAAACATAATACAATTTTTTTAATTTTTATAAAAAAAAATAGTATTTTAAAAACTGTTTTAGTTTATTATATAATGAAAATTTATTTAATTTAAATAAAATTTTATAAACTACTTGTTTATAATTTAAAAAACAAGTTTGCTTAAGCTTATCTTATAAAATATCTTAATAAAACTTTTTAATATAAAAATTTAATATAAAAAAATTTTTAAAACATAAAAAAATTTATATTTTTTTTATTAAATTATAAAAACTTATTTGTTTTATACAAAATTTAAAATTTATTTTCTTTAGGTTTTTTAAAAAACTTTTGTTTAAGCTTTTCTTATAAAGTATTTTAATAAAATTTTTTAAAAATATAATTGTTTATAACAATTCAAAAAAACTTTTTTTTAAAAATCGTTAAGCCAAGTGAGTCTAGTGAGGTTCTACAAGATTAAATTAGAATTCAAGCAAGGATGTCAGTTCCACAGGTGGTGAAAATGGTAGTGCGATGCTATGCTAGTGGCACATCCCGAGGATTAGCGATAACAGATGATTGGAATTCTGGGATTAGTCTCTATAATAATATTCTATACATACTGCTTCCTGCAATAATGGACCAGCAGGTTTAAGCGGGTTTAAACTAGTAGTAGAATTCCCTCCCTGCGAAAGTTCCATCTGACGTGTGGACATATCTCCTTGGTGTTTAAATAGACATATAGTTGGGTAATAGTGGTTAGCGTAGCTAGTCTTATAGTAATATATGTACTAGGCAGTATTAACTTACAGATTAACTGTAAAGACATAAAGAGTATCCTGTAGCAACCGATTGTTGATTAACCTGTAAAGATACTTGGTATCTATCTGGATATATAAACATATCAATAAAGATTATGCACCATGCGCACGTTCCACTATAAAAAAAAAAAAAAAAAAAAACTTTTTTTAAATTTTTATATATCATCTAAAATCTTAAAAAATAAATATTTTTATAAAATTTTAATGATTTTTTTTATTTAATTATAAAATAAAATATAAAATCAAAAAAATTTCAAAAAATTATAAATCACTCTATATATATATAATCTCTGTTTCAAAGATCTTTAATAAAAATAGAGATTTCAATTATATTAAAAAAAATTTTTTTAATATTAAAGTAAGGCATATTTATTATTTTTATTAATAGAATAAAAGTTATATGATTAATATTAAGCTATAAATTATATCATTATAGATATTAGCCTATTATCTATTTAACAGATATATTATTTAAAAAATTTTTGAGCAAAAAAACTTAAGAAACTATCTGTTATAAAAAATAAAAATAAAAAAATATTTGGAACAGGATCACTATAATATAGTAAAATTAAAGAAAAAAAGGAAAAAATTGAAAATAATATTATAGCTTTTGTTAAATGTAGTTTTTGAATACAATTAATTGTTTTAGTTAAATGGTGATATTATATAAGTCACAAGTAATTCGATTGATTTGATTATATAAGTTTTTAATATATATTATTATAATGTAATTTGATTGGATAGTGATATTGATACTAAAACTTATATGTTCCAGATGTTTATTGTTTTTGTTTTAATGAGATATAGTAAATTGTTTTTATTAGAACCTATGTAAGGTACTGATTATATGCTTTTTCAATACAATAAGTTGTTGTGTTATTTTGATGTAAATAAATAATACAGAATGTAATTAGTGTTTTGTGTATTATAAATCTTTTGATAAGATAAACTAATTTTAGTTTTATATATAAGAATAAGTAAAATTGACAACTAGTCAAAAAATTGTATTTATTAATCTAATATTAGTTATTATTAGCAAAAAACAAAAACTCTAAAAAAATAAAATACTGTTTCTTGATATATATACAGTATGTCTCATAATTTTTTGTAAATTTTATTTATTAATTACTCGATAACCGCCGAACCAAATACAATAAACAATAACTTGTTTGAAAGGTAAGAACCCAAAGTTTATTTTATTAAAATTTCAATAGTTAA